CGTAAAGTACTGGATAATATGTTGACTCAGAATGCTGCACATTTGGGGAGGAAAAAAAATAGCAGAATGATGTTCAGTAGTAAACATTAGCCTCTCTGAGATCTAGAATCCAGACACTTTCTGGAAAGTAACAACTTGTTGAAGAAAAAGAAAAGAGAGAAGCAGATTGCCAGGAATCAGGAAGGAACGAACAGGAAAAACTAGAAGATACAGAGAGGTTGGCAAGATGGTACACAACACAGAGAAAAGAAGGAAATATTTTTTTTTACTTTCTCCCCAGCTCTCACGACTCCAGGGGGTCGGGGAGAGACCAGGTTCCCCAGAAGCAAGGTAAGCACCCAGGGCTGTGAGATCTAGGGAGAAACCACAGCAGAGCTTACAGCCTTTGTGAACCACAGAAACAGGGCAAGGAGTTTGCTCTGAGGCTACTCCTTGCATATAGCAAGCAACAACCAGACAGAGATATGAGCGTGGGCACCCACCATATTGCCAGAGAGTGTTTGGTTAGGTGGCATTTGGGAAGGGGTCAATTCTTTAAATATGGGACTCAGAACAACTAACAACTTCACTTGGGGGCTCCTACTGTTACTCTCCCACAGTGACTGGATGAGAGACAGCCATAGTCAGGGAGTAAACTAGAAAGAGATCACTGAGAAGTTTAAATTTAGGCCAGGTAGGACACAGGCCCCACACCCTGCAGTGAGAAGCCAAGCCCAGCTTGAGTCATACTCAAAAGCAGCTGGGTTTAAAAGTGCCTGCCAGCATTCAGTACTTGAGCCTGTGCCCTGCTGCAAAAATCTAGTCAGATCTGAGGTCTGTGTTCCCTGTCCACCAATGTAAGCAAGGACACATCTCAGCATAGACACCGCCACAGCCTAGGTTAAACAGAGGGACCTCTGGAATAGGGGGCGCCCCTCACAAACCCACAAGCTGTTTATGAAAAACCAATGGCCAACATCATATTAAATAGGAAGAAGTTGAAAGCTTGCCCTCTAAAATTTAAAAAAAAAGAAAACAAAGATGTCCATTATCACCACTACGGTTCAATATAGTTCTGGAAATAATCAGGCAAGAGAAATAAATAAAAGGAATAGGGATAGGAAAAGAAGAATTCAAATTATCATTATTTGCAGATGACATGATCTGTTACATAGAAGGCCCAAAAAATTTCACCAAAAGCTTCGTAGAATTTGTAACCAGATTCCACAGCATAGCAGGATACAAAGTCAACACATAAATATTAGTAGTGTTCCTGCACACAAACAATAACAGTTCCTGCACACCAACCAAGAAATTAGGGAAACAGTACCTTTCACAATAACATCAAGAAAAATTAAGGGCTGGGGATTTAGCTCAGCGGCACAGCACCTGCCTGGCAAGCACAAGGTCGTGAGTTCAATTCCTGCTACCGGAAAAAAAAAAAAAAAAAAAAACCTAGGAATTAACCTAACCAATGAGTGAAAGACCTCTACAACAAAACCACAATATTCTGAAAAAGGAGATCACAGAGGACTTCAGAAAATGGAAAGATGTCCCTTGTTCCTAGATAGGCACAACCACTATAGTCAAAATGATCATATTCAAAAACTGATACAGAGTTAACGCAATCCCAATCAAAACAACAATATCATTCCTCATAACACTAGAGAAAAAAATTCTAAAACTGCACAAGCAATGCTGGGTAGCAAAGGCAAGGCAAGAGGAATCACAATTTGGACTTCAAGTTATACTATGAAGCTACAGTGATAAAAGCAGAATGGCTTGGCAATCAGACAAATAAAAATAGACAATTAAATCAATAGAACAGAATGGAGGATCTACAAACAACTCTAAGCACATTCAGCTACCTGATCTTTGACAAAGAGACCAAAAACATACATTCTTTAACAAATGTACTGGGAAAACTGGCTTTCCACATGAAGAAGATTGAATCTGGACCCATACCTCTCACCATACACCAAACTAAAACCAAAATGTATCAAAGATCTAAATAATAAAAGAGAAACACTTCATTGGCCAGAAGATAAAATAGGTAAAGCTCTTGAAGACATAGGCATAGGCCAGGACTTTTGAACAGAACCCCACTTAGTCAAGAGATAACACAAGAATCAACAAATGTGATCATATCAAATTAAAAAAAAACTTCTGCCCGCCAAAGGAAACAACCAACAGGGTAAAGAGACAACCTACAGAATGGGGGAAAAAAATAGCCAGCTACTCCTCAGATGGATGACTAACATCTAGAATATATAAAGAACTTAAAAAATGGACCCCCCCAAATAAAAGACTCCTAAGATGGACAACTGAAATAAACAAACACTTCTCAGAAGAAGAAATACAAAGGGCCAAGGGCCAAGGGCCAATAAATATATGAAAAAATGTTCAACATCTCTGACCATTAGAGAAATGCAATTGAAAACAACACTGAGATTTCATCTTTCTCCAGAAAGAATGGCAATCATCAAGAAATCAGATAACAATAAATACTAACAATGCTGCAGGGGGTGGGGGAAGTTCTCTTCACTGTTGGAATGTATAATCAGTATGGAGATGCCTCAAAACATTAAAACAAGAAATTCCATTCGACCCAGCTATTCCCCTGTTAGGTATCTTCCCAAGGGTTAAGGGTATCATATTACAGTGATACATGCATAGCCATATTTATAGCAGCACAATTCACAATAGCCATACCTTGAAAGTGGCCTATATGCCCATAAACAGTGAAAGGATAAAGAAAATGTGGTATTTATATGCACTGGAGTATTACTCTGCCATAAAGAAGAATAAACTTGAATCATTAGTGGGAAAATGGATGTACCTTGAGATCATAAGGTTAAGTGAAATAAATCAGACACACGAGCTTAAACACCACAAGGTTTCTCTCATATGACAAACTCAAAATACAAATAAAGGGCAAAATAAAAGTAAGATAATAGCAAAAAAGATGGAAGGAGGGAGAAAGAGGGTAGGAAAAAATACAGCTGGAAGGGAATGCAGGAGTAAGGGACATAAAAAGAAAAATTTTTTAAACTTATGGAACACCTCAAATGTCCATAACAAAAGAAAAGGTAAATATATTCATAGAATGGACACTACGACTCAGTGGTACAAAAAACAAACCAATGACATAGCTGACAACCCAATGTAACTTGCTGTGAAGGTCCTGGGTTCCATTCCCAGTACTGAAAAGAAAATAAACAATATTTGACTGTCAAGGTTATGTGATAGAATGTAAGGACTCCTTTAGTCTCTGCTTTACCCAGTGATTGGACCAGTCCAGCTCCCTAAGGAGTAAGCTTCTTAATGAGAAGCCTGAATCTTTCATATTTTCAGATTCCCCTCCAGAAGTCCCCACTGCCTATTGTTTTCAGGATTATGTAAAGGTTATTTATAGAATTTAATAGAATCACTTCCACTAATTTTTTTTTTTTTCTGTTGACTGTACCCCTCTCTAGCCAGAAGAAAGATATAGTTAGTAAAAGAGTAGAATTCCAGCCCACTTTTGTGTCTCCTTGGGTCAGTGGTTTTTGTGCTAATCTTCATCATATTTACCTGTACCTGGGAGAAGGCGGGTCAGGGACCAGATAATCTTTAAGACCTTGGTTCCCAAATCTAACCAATCACCTGAGGATCTTAAGGGACACCTGCGCTCCTTCCAGTTTTCTGATTCAGTACATCCGGGACACTCAAGAGCCTCATAAGACCAGCTGACATTTATCAAGAACTTATTTATCAAGAATTTATCTTCGGCGAAGCACTGTTCTAAGTGTTTTACAAGTTCATGTTCTCAGTTTATATCTTCACAACCATGGGGGGGGGGTGCGCTTAAATTATGCAACCAATACAACTAGTAACTTGTCGATTGGAGAATTTAACTCGAGCCCAACAATTCCAGATGCCAGTCTCTCGATCACTACATTATATAAGATTTTTGCGGGGGAGCTTTGAGTGATTTTGATGATTAATCAGCTTTTAAGAAAGCCACTGGAGGCCACGCAACTCTAAAAGGTACATTTGTTTGAAATGTATGGCCCACCACCTCCACTGTTTCTGGAAGAAAAATGGTTTAAGGACAGCTTTTTTCCTACAGGTAACAAGAGCGCTTGGAGGGGGCTGGGGATTTAGCTCAGCGGCAAAAGCGCCTGCCTGGCAAGCGCAAGGTCGTGAGTTCGGTTCCTGGTACCGGAGAAAAAAAAAAAA